ATAAAAAATAAAACTCTGTAAGTGATAATTATCCTTGTGAGTGCATTTATGCTATTGATAAAATAGATATGTACCAACAAAAGAAACTGATAAAAGATGAAAGAATGGATGTACATAATAAATAAGTTGGTGTGGAGGAGGCTTGCAGGTGGGGAGTTAAAAGAGGTTGACACATGTGTCTGTAGTTGGNTGTTTTTAATTTTTTGGTATTATATCAAAAAAATTAAAAAAAAATTTATATTTCATAATATTTTTAATCCCTAAAGTATGCTTATTTTGTCAATCTGATTCTCATTATATTAATTTTGTCNGGTATAATAAAAAAATAGAATGATAGAAAATTAGAATGATAGAAAGTTGGAAGGATAAATAAAATATCATGATTGGTAAAAAAAAAAAATAAGAAGGATGAAAAAGNGGCAAGTAATGTGAGTATTTATAGCACAGTGCTCGGGCAAGTCAAGCTGCCCAAAGGGCTGCCCGTCGCGACCCCCTACCACTCANTAGTTTTTAATTTTTTGGTATTATATCAAAAAAATTAAAAAAAAATTTATATTTCATAATATTTGTAATCCCTAAAGTATGCTTATTTTGTCAATCTGATTCTCATTATATTAATTTTGTCAATTTAATTTTTAAATTTGTAATTTGTGTCACTTTAGTCACTAACCAAACATTATTGTTAAGTTTTTTTTGATGAAATTGATCATATGTCATNCTTCCAAAATCAGAAAAAAAGTGGATGAAAAATTAATTATTTTTGTTGAGATGTATCTTATTTATCTATATATCTTTTGATATATACATATATTATGTATACATTAATTNCATGCTAACCCACAACTGCCTCAACCGCGACAATACTACTGGTCATTAACGGCGAGCCATGCGTCCCAACATTAACTAGGTAGATGTGATGTTTCCCCAAATTCAACCTGAACGTGGCCCCGAGGAAGGTGTGACAGCCAAGGTGAGAGAGAGCTCCCAAGGTCCATGACCGCGACTGGCCACCGCAGGACCATGGCCTCGAGAGGACCATGCCCGCGATGCCCCCAACGCGCTTCTACCCGGGGTCTTTCTTTCCCTCTCTANAATTTAAAAATAAAAAAAATAAAATTTTGGATTTATTTTTTAATTAAAATTATATCAACACAAATACAAACATAAATATAACACAAAAATAAACAGGTCAACTCGCAACTTGACACGACACAATTAGTTAAATGAGTTGAGTTATGTTTGACTAATATTTGACACAAACCTGTAATGACTCAACACGAATCTAACACGACATGACTCGATTGTCACTCCTAATCTTAGCCAACATAAAAAAAAAATTAGTTATTTTTATTTTTCATTCATCCAATCAAACACAAAGAAAGAAAATTGTTTCATTCCTATTTCCTTCCTTGAAGAATAGAAAATGTATCTCTCCTACTTTTCATTCTCCTTATTTTTCATCCTCCCTACTCTACATCCGTCCTACCAAACGGAGCATAATGTTTCGTTTGGTACGATGAAAAAATGGAAGGATGAAAAATTTGAGAGATAAATAAAATATCATGTTTGGTAAGAAAAGAAAATAAGAATAATGAAAAAGTGGATGGATTAACTTTCCTTCTAACTCACAATAATCAATCCCTCCAAAATCGGAAAAAAAGTAGATGAAAAGTTAATTATTTGCGTTGAGATGTATCTTATTTGTCTATATATTATGTATACATTAATTTCATATAAAAATATAATGATAATATATAAATAAATATATATATATTTAAATAAAATATAATAAAAAAATAAAAATAAAAAATTTAAATTAAAAAAAATATATATTTTTTTTATCTTAACTAGGGTAAAAATTTTCGACTCAACACGATAATATGACTCGAACTCGATACAAATTTTATGACATGAACTTGATTATAACTCGACACGAACTTGAAATAACCTAACACATGAACAAGAAATGTAAAATGCCTACAATTTTCTAATTCAACACGAATCTGACACGATGCGACTTGATTGTCACCCCTAATATTAGACAAAAAAAATTAATTATTTTTATTTTCATCCATCCAACCAAACACAAAGGAATAAAAGTATATTATTCTTTCTTTTTATCTTTCTTACCAAACAGAACATAAAATTTATCGATGATAACCATTAGGCCGGTGACTAACCTCCTATATTGGTACTTTTATGTTAGGACCTTTCAAGATTATCTTTTTTTAATTGGAGTAAATTACATTTTACCCCATTAACTATTACCCTTGTTTCATTTTTCACTCTCAATTATAAAATTTCTTACATTGTATCTTAAAATATCAATTTAATTTTATATAACTTCAACAGATAGTGACAAAATTAAAAATCTGTCAAATGAGGGTGGAAAACCTCAAATAACTTCCTACTAAGAAAATAAAAATCGATTAGAGGAAAAAAAATTTGAAGCTTAGGAAGAGCGATGTGAAATAAAATTGATATTTTAAAGTGCAATGTGATAAATTTTATAATTGAGAGTGTAAAATGAAACAAGAGTAATAGTTCAAAAAGGATAAAGTGTAATTTACCTTTTTTATTGATTGAATTTTTTTTATTCAAGCAATAATGTTGAGACCTAATTTAGACACTAATGTGAGTATCGAATTTCATAGTCTTCATTAGATTTAGAACGGATCCCCAATAATAAATTTTAGAACCAATAAAAGGGTCAATTATTTATTTTCAGCTTTGATGACTTGATCAATAACTTGCTCAAAATACATATTGACGTCTATTAATTAAATTCTTTATCATCACTTATTCTGACAACTTGAAAAGAAAGAATAGGAAGGTCAAGAGGTAGATCAGTAATAAAGACGAATTATAAATGTAAATATTTTGAGTTTAAATTTTAATAATTTTTTTGGAGATAAATCATAAAGAATTTATCCCATCATAAATACTTTAATTTTAACGTAGATGACTTGTACTTGACTCAAATAGTCTTAACGTTGAACCACTAAAAAGATTTGAGCGGGAGAGAGAGAATAAGTTGGAGTCGGCAAACGGCAAGTAATTGCGACCCCAAAAAGGGTTGGGACCTAAAAAAGTTGGAATGGACATGCAATTAAGTATAGGAATTAGAACCCTTTCATGGTTACGTGAACTCCATCTAACATTATATCGTGACAGGTGACCGTGCAAAACCCAACTTGTTTACTTGACTTGAACCAACAACTCTGACTACATTGGAGAAAGATTGTTGTTCAATACTAAAAGACTTATTGGTCCACGTTTCATTAGCTAAACTTATGGTACCATTAGTTTTTAATTTTTTGGTATTATATCAAAAAAATTAAAAAAAAATTTATATTTCATAATATTTGTAATCCCTAAAGTATGCTTATTTTGTCAATCTGATTCTCATTATATTAATTTTGTCAATTTAATTTTTAAATTTGTAATTTGTGTCACTTTAGTCACTAACCAAACATTATTGTTAAGTTTTTTTTGATGAAATTGATCATATGTCATTTTGATATCATGTGATTACCGCATGATTATTTCGTTAAAAATTTAATAGTCTGTTTGTGCAAGCATAATTTCTTAAGGAATGAAATTAAAAAATTAATATTTTAGAAATCAAATTAACAAATTGTACATATTTTTGAGGACCAAAAGTGTTATATCCCATAAAAAATAAAAAATGATAAGTTTGACCCATAAAAAAATAATAAATCTTATCCAAAAGATAGTATACATATCTAAAAAACAGTCCTAACCGATATAATTTTTTTTTTTTTGATACTCTACTAAACAAGTCAGCAATAATAAATGCTAACGTGAAAAAGTTCTTATTAACATCTGAAACTATGAAAGCGAAAGCAGAAGATTTTCCCGGGTGAAAATGTTGATCTGGATATATATATATATATATATATATATATATATATATATATATTTTTAAAATGGTCAACAGTGTATAGATTAATTTATGCATATTTCGATTAATTCTCATACTAATTCTGTTAAAGATAAGTGATTCACCGTGAGATTAAAATATTTATAAAAAATAAAACTCTGTAAGTGATAATTATCCTTGTGAGTGCATTTATGCTATTGATAAAATAGATATGTACCAACAAAAGAAACTGATAAAAGATGAAAGAATGGATGTACATCATAAATAAGTTGGTCCGGAGGAGGCTTGCAGGTGGGGAGTTAAAAGAGGTTGACACATGTGTCTGTAGTTGGCAAGTAATGTGAGTATTTATAGCACAGTGCTCGGGCAAGTCAAGCTGCCCAAAGGGCTGCCCGTCGCGACCCCCTACCACTCCCCCTACCACTCATGCTAACCCATAACTGCCTCAACCGCGACAATACTACTGGTCATTAACGGCGAGCCATGCGTCCCAACATTAACAAGGTAGATGTGATGTTTTCCCAAATTCAACCTGAACGTGGCCCCGAGGAAGGTGTGACAGCCAAGGTGAGAGAGAGCTCCCAAGGTCCATGACCGCGACTGGCCACCGCAGGACCATGGCCTCGAGAGGACCATGCCCGCGATGCCCCCAACGCGCTTCTACCCGGGGTCTTTCTTTCCCTCTCTAGATCCTTCTTGGAGACCTTTGTCGAGGTGTCCAATAGAGAAAACCCATATAGTTTTGGTCCTTTAGCCACCAATCCATATGTCTCATCATCTCATATGCTGATCCGGTCCAATAACCCTAGTTACCTTAAGAGTCTCTCCGGATCCCAGTCAAGCACATTCCAGTGGGCAGTGAGCCATACACTAGGAGGCCTACTTGAGCAGACTAAACCTTCAAGACCCTGCTCCCAGGCTAAGGTTGACAATCATGCTCATCTGCTCCTATTGCTCAATTCTCCCTTGAGGAGGGTCATACTCCCCTGTCCCTAGGTGGGGACATCTTTTAGTCTAGTGGGCCAGTCGAGCAACGGTTGAGGATACCATTCCCGTAGCGGGGGAGGCGAGTATTGCCGCGGTTGCCCCCATACTTCTATGACACCATTCCTGTAAAAGGGCGTCGCGCCAAGGGGTATTGCGCCCAAGGGCGTTGCACTTGAGGTTGCCCCATACTTCTACGATTCCACTTTTGTCCCACATCGGTGAAAGGTTCATTTTGCCATTTCCAATGTGATGGAGATGTATCTCGCCCAGATGCGGTATTGTGGTTAAGGGCGTTGCGCCCAGGGGCGTAGTGCCCAAGGTTGCCCCATACTTCTATGATTTCACTTTTGTCCACCCTTGGTGAAGGGTCCACTTTTCCACTTCTAATGCGACGGGGATATATGTTGCCCTGTTGCGATGTTGTGCCTGAGAGCATCGCTGCCAGGGGGTCACGCCAAGTGGGTGTCGCAGCCAGGGGCGTTGCACCTTAGGTGTCACGCATGAGTGTTGTACCTTGGGCATCATGCATGACATTATTATTTACACGCGCCCAAGGGGCGTTGTAAGCCCCCACATTCTTATTTGTTTTTAGCCCCGTAATTGTTTTTGAAATGCTAATATATGTAACGAGGTATACATGAACTATGTAGAGGACAAGAGTAGAAATAAAAATGTTAGTGGAGGTAATAGGGTATGTTATAGAAAGTTAAAAGTATTTCGGAGTGAAATCGCATTTTAAAGATAATTTGGGTAAGATGGATTTTTGACACTGCCTTAGTGTTTGGGTTATAAATTTTTATTTTGATATCCATTTGACCTAAAATTTTGACAGTAGACTCTAAACTTCCAGGCCTACAAAATAGTATTCACAAAATTTTTTCAAATCAACCTCTAAATAGGTCAAAACTCCACTGAAAATTTCAGCAGAAACTGGAAGGACGTTCGAATAACAGTAAGTCCCAGTACTTTGATGTCTGCAAAGCTCTGATGGAAATGCAAAAGTATTGGGAGAAACTAANAGTCCCAGTACTTTGATGTCTGCAAAGCTCTGATGGAAATGCAAAAGTATTGGGAGCAACTAATGTTCGAACACCAAGTGACATTCAAACGTGAATCAATAATTTGCACTATTGACGTTCGAACGCCAAAGTGATGTTCGAACGTGAGTTATGAAATCTGGGTTTGAAAATTACGCACAAGAGGTTATTNAATTTTTATTTTGATATCCATTTGACCTAAAATTTTGACAGTAAACTCTAAACTTCCAGGCCTACAAAATAGTATTCACAAAAATTTTTCAAATCAACCTCTAAATAGGTCAAAACTCCACTGAAAATTTCAGCAGAAACTGGAAGGACGTTCGAATAACAGTAAGTCCCAGTACTTTGATGTCTGCAAAGCTCTGATGGAAATGCAAAAGTATTGGGAGAAACTAACGTTCGAACACCAAGTGACATTCGAACGTGAATCAATAATTTGCACTATTGACGTTCGAACGCCAAAGTGATGTTCGAACGTGAGTTATGAAATCTGGGTTTGAAAATTACGCACAAGAGGTTATTTCTTCCACTATAAATACTTAAGGACACCCTCATTAGCCCCATTTCAACACATATAATCCTAGGAAGTCTTAGAGAGGAAGAAATAAGGAGAAAAACACAAGATCAAGGAGGATTTTCACATTGAAGTGGATCAAATCTCAAGTTCTTCACACAAAACTAAGGAAGAAGGTAGAGATTTTCTTCCATTCTTGTTCATAAATACGAGGGCTTATATATACATATGTTTTGACTCTTAATCATATATATTTGTTATGAAATCCTTATTTCTTGATGTTCTTGCAAACTTTACTATGTTTTGAAGGAATTTATGGTTTGATAATCATAGAAATTCATGTTCTTTATGTCATAACCTAGTTTTGAGAAAAATAGATTTTTCTTCTTGATATTATTGTGTTCTTGATTCAAAAACTTTAGTGCTTTATTTTGAATAATAAAAGTAGATCTTTTGATGATCTCTTGCTTATTTTCTTGAATTGTTAGGTTGGAAAAATACCTATGGAATTGGGGGTTTATGATTTACTTGTGATTTTGAGAAATACCTATGGAATTGGGGGTTTTGAATTTACTTGTGATTTGAGAAAATGGTTAGTATTGCATCTCTTGTATGGTTGTTATGATGGACTTGAATTGCCTTCAAGAATTTCATAGAGTGTTAGAGGTTAGTCTATCCCAGTGGGGGTGAGATGATTTCCGAACATTTGTAGTGGATTGTTGTTTGTGAAAGCAACCAGTATTGTTCACGTAAGTTTGAGGTTGAGGGATGGTATACCTTTCTGCGAAAGGATTCGTCAATGCCGTGGGAGATGGTATACGCCCTTCCTAAATTGGTTTGTGTGGTTATGATGGGTGAACAAGGTAGAATCATCATGTAGATTCATGGGANTTCGAAAGGATTCGTCAATGCCGTGGGAGACGGTATACGCCCTTCCTAAATTGGTTTGTGTGGTTATGATGGGTGAACAAGGTAGAATCATCATGTAGATTCATGGGAAGCAATCAACATACATGAGAATATAGAATGATGCTTTTGAATGATTAATTGATTTCTTTAATTCTGACATGTTTATTCCTTTCATTTAACTTATTGTTATTGCGGTAACTTGATATCGAATAAATTATTACTATTTTATTTCAAATTATATATAGTATTTTGGAAAGTGAGACCAAATTGTTTTATATGTTTTTAAACCTTGTTCAAGTTTAGGAGGATGTTACTACAGAGTTTAGTGATCATCCCCTACAAATACTATTTATTCTCAGATGTCGGTTTAGATGAAGAGCTCGGAGTTAATGAGTAGGTAGCTTGGGAAGCGCAATTGGANATAGAGTTTAGTGCTCATCCCCTACAATTACTATTTATTCTCAGATGTCGGTTTAGATGAAGAGCTCGGAGTTGATGAGTAGGTAGCTTGGGAAGCGCAATTGGATGGAGGCGTGGATCCTGAGAAGGATNACAGAGTTTAGTGATCATCCCCTACAAATACTATTTATTCTCAGATGTCGGTTTAGATGAAGAGCTCGGAGTTAATGAGTAGGTAGCTTGGGAAGCGCAATTGGATGGAGGCGTGGATCCTGAGAAGGATGTCTAAAGTTGATCTCTCCATGTCCTAGACTAGGGGATGCATTTTGATACAATGGATATATGTTATTTTGTTTATTCCGCTGCAAGATTAAGTTTGATTTTGAGATGTAATTGTCATAGTTTGACATATTCTTTTTGGATGTAGATGTCATGGTTTTGCATATTCTTTTGGATAATGTTGTAAATATTATGTACGATAAATGTAATTTTTTTTACTTATGGACTTTATTAGTTGCTCTCATGATGTGAATGATTTTAAATAGTAATGCCGTCCAATGTGAATTTTGGGGCATTACAAGCGTCGCGCCAAGGGAGCGTCGCAACCAAGGGAATCTCGGCCCGGGGACATCGCTCCCAGGGGGGTCACAGCCAAGGGCGTCACACCTTAGGTGTCGTGCATGAGTGTTGTGCCTTGAGCGTCACGCATGGTATTAGTATCTACACTAGTCCGGTTGACGTTGTCAAGGCGTCGTGNCCCGGGGACATCGCTCCCAGGGGGGTCACAGCCAAGGGCGTCACACCTTAGGTGTCGTGCATGAGTGTTGTGCCTTAAGCGTCACGCATGGTATTAGTATCTACACTAGTCCGGTTGACGTTGTCAAGGCGTCGTGCCCAAGGATACCACACTTGTCACTGTTATTTATACTAGTCCAACTGAACTCTGTCGGGCCCCATTTCTATATCATATGATAATCATTGCCACTTATCCTGTTATGGTGGAGACACGTGTCTTGAAGTTTTTCGAGTATTACATTTGCCCTCTGCGCGAGCCAGGTCGCGGGAAGCGTCCTGCATGCGCACACCANATTCTGTCGGGCCCTATTTCCATATCATATGATAATCATTGCCACTTATCCTGTTATGGTGGAGACACGTGTCTTGAAGTTTTTCGAGTACTACATTTGCCCTCTGCGCGAGCCAGGTCGCGGGAAGCGTCCTGCATGCGCACACCATTTTTGGTTTTCACTTGTTGTTTGACTGCAACTATCTGACTGTGGTGCTGATGACTAAAATTTTTTCGTAAAATTGGCCCAAGTCTTTTGCCATCATTTCTTTATTGCAAAAAATATTGTCGTGGTTAGTTGCCTTCTGTATGCATGAACCGTATTTTGATGGGCTTTGCATGCATAATGGTAGCGATGACTTATGTATTTTTGTCCTTGTGCAATTTTTTTTTAGGTGTATCTCTTTATCCTTGTACCAGATAGAAAACCTTCACTATCATTGAGCGGTGACTCCCCAACTGGGGCAAGGTTTACTTCCTCGAGCTCTTGCTCCTATGGCTTAGGGCGATCCTCCATGCATTTTGGCGTAGGGACCGCGTTAGTGGGTGTCGCGGTGATGTTGGCCTTTGCTTCATGCACCTCGTCTCAGGGACTCCACCTCCTAGCCTTGTAAGTGGTCCCCCCCACACCATCATAATTGATTGGAGACGACGGATAGGACATGACAGATACATCTCTTTGTGGCCACCTCCCATAAGGGCTCTTCAACTTGCCTTTTTCTTCAGGCCCGTTCTCTGAGCCTTTCTTTCACACAAACCCTTTGCGGTCTACACTACCTAGTGAGTCTTTTCATAACTCGCAGAACTCTCTTTGACTCAATAATTTTCTGTGGGAAATCCATGAAACTAATCCCTGTATTGTAGGGAAAACATCATCTAGATTTTGAAAAGTATGGCAAGAAACATCTAGTCGTTCGTGTGGCCTTTGGTTTGACCAATAGTTCAAGTGGGTTGCCATACCAATCTAAGAAAATTCATTGCATAGTTGGGACTTCGATCAGGATATGCCTTTTCGAGGAACAATAATAAGGTTTCTACAATGGTCTTCATATAACAAGGTCCCTTCACTGGCCTTGGGGTCGGCTCACATTGAATGGTTCAAATTATAAAATGGAGTTCAACTATTGATATACTTCCAAATTCAAGAAAAACATGGTCCATAGTTACGACACCCTTCTGCCGCGTGACCCACCATCGTGGCACCAAATTTCTTGTGAACCTGAACATACTTCCTCGACTGGTTTTTTNAAAAACATGGTCCATAGTTACGACACCCTTCTGCCGCGTGACCCACCATCGTGGCACCAAATTTCTTGTGAACCTGAACATACTTCCTCGACTGGTTTTTTTTAGGTACCTATAGATTGTGACCACGAAAACTTGCTAGGATAATCACCTCCGGCAAGTTGAGGTCTGTCCCGTGAGTCGTGTGACCCACCACCATGACACTATTACCACTACGAGACTTACCATCACGACACCATGTGCACCTCCTCACCTTCTTTGTGGTCTATGAGGAGTCGATCATGGACATTGCCCCTAGCGCTCGTCAGTACCAACTCTCCACTCTTTAA